TATTAATGCGTCTATACTTTGTGAAGGGAGACAAATATCAGATGGAAGTTTAATACAGTTGCCTTTTTCAGCAATACATTCAGCACGATCTTCACCAATTTCTAGAAGCCAATTAGCAAAGTTTTGCTGTTCAATAGTTTCCTGTGCACTTTCAGCTTGTAGTAACCGCATGTTAATGGTTAATTTTATAACTTTTATGTGATGCCATAGAGGAGATCGCAATAAACAGAAGCCAACAATGTCTTCTCTTCTTCCTTTAGGTACTACTGGTAAAATTTGACAAAAATCACCCCCAAATACAATAACTTTTCCACCGAAAGGCTGATTTTCTAAAGCTCGATCTATTGCTTTCATTAAATCTCTTAGAGTTCGATCAACAGCTTTTGATGCAAAATGATTTGCTATAGGAGCCTCATCCCAAATAATGAGGCTTGCTTGCTTTAAAAGAATTGCATGATCTGACCCATGTGATATATTACATATAGAATCCTCATGTAACTCAAATAGAATCCGAAAAAGGGAATACGCAGTACAACCTCCATCTAGTAAAAGTGCTGCAATGCCTGAAGTAGCTACTGCAAGCGCTATATTTCCAGTAGATCTGATTTTGTCTAATATAGCACCATATAAAAATATCTTACCTGAACCTTCAGGACCATTCATGAAAAATATAGCAGCACTTTGATTTTCTACAGCTGTAATTACTGCATCAAAAATGGAGCGCTGTTCTGAGTTTAAACGTGAATAGGCATTCTGAGCTCTAACTTTAAGAAAATCACGATCATATTGCAACTCTTTTGCGAGTAAATAATTTTGCTGAATATGATTGTTAAATAATTGAAGCGGTAAAGGCATGTTTGGAAAATCGGTAAGACGGAATCCATTTCTGATCAAAATAGCTTCTAATCTTGTTAATGCTATATTGTATATATCAGATTCGGTAAAAGTATAGGAAGGGTTGCTTTCTGCTTCTAAACGGGTTTGATAAAGTATATCATCACTAAAAGATGTGATGTATTTTTGCCAAAGTAATTCCGGGTGAGTGGGATAACAAAACATAAGAATTGTAGCAAACAAATACCGCATTTGTGATCCAGATTGTATTTGTTGAGCTTCATTTAAACAATCTTTCCATTCTTTATCGTCTTAAAGTAAACCTAAAGCTTCACAGAGTAGGAAAATTACCATATGTTAATTCATGTGCAGCTGGAAACCATATATTTGCTTTAAACCATGCAGTTAAAGTGGTCTCAGAAGTGTTTTCACACTCAAGTATCTCCACTAAAGTTTTATCATCTCAATAATATACAGTGTGTTGGCCGGGGAGATGAACATAAAGCCTCATAATATCAGGTTTCTCATTATGTAGTTTATAATGGAATAGTCGCCATGTGGCTTCTGAGGCAGAAACGTAGTGAGCATCTAAATAAAGGCTAATTTCATTAATTTCATTTGTTGGTCTTATTTCAGTTTGTCTTCCTATTTCAACTGTTGCTCGATCATAGCCTTTATAAACATATTTAAAAAGATATTTAACAGCGGCTATGGAAGAACATATTTCAACATTAATATATGCACCATATTTTGTAGCAAGATAAAGATTATGTGGTACCACCCAGCAGTTATCTAACAGTGCACCTCTAATCTTAACAGAACAGCCATCATGAAAGCAGCAGTAGATAGGATAACCATCTTCATTTACAGATGAGTAGTACAAAAGGTGCGTGGATATCATTTCGAACATTTCCCTTCTCTCATACATGGCGCATTTGGATAAGCAGAACCACATGGACCATGCATCATCGATCGGCAAACAGTATTATATGCCAAAGGATGAAGATTTTTATCAGGGATTTCAGCATATATGATAGCATCATAATCTTCAATAGTTCTTGGCTTGCTACTTTGATTAAGAATTAAAAGGATATGAGCGTGAGGAAGGCCACGCTTTTGAAATTCAATGACATAAACATAACCCACAACTATTCCGAAAATATGATTTTTGAGAATATCATCCATTAAAGCTTTCAATTTCATATTGAAGACTCTAGCCGTGAGATCAGGGTGATCAGAGGCTACCTGATTATTAAAAAGTTCTGAAGTAATTTCAGGCCAAGCTGGATTGCAGGTAAATGTAATAAATAGATCAGGTTTACCCATCTCGCGTACAATAGCCATCGCATCCTGATATAGCTGCTATATTTGTCGTGGCCCAGCAGTAAAACTTGATGGAAAAATAATTCGCCTGCCAATATTAGCGATATTTAAATCCTGAGGTACTTCATCTTGTGTACTTAATGCATCATGAAGGCCACTATAAAGGTCTGCACGAATCTTTTTTTAATTGCACTTTAAATAGTTAAGCTGATTTTGTTCCACATTTGCATATGCATCAATAATATATTGTTGGAAAAGACGTCCAAATAGATGAAGATTCATTCCTTCTCCAGTTCTACCTATTTGTAGTTGATATGCATAATATTGCAGCATAGTAACATTTTTTTGATGTTTAATGCTATCGTCTGCATCGATAGCATCATCAATATCATATTGTTGTTCAACATCAAGAAAAGATAATTGTGCTTCATCACGGATTGGAATTTTCGGATGCCATCCATCTTCCCCTCTTGAAAAAAGAAAAACGTAATATAATGATGCATACGCTCTATGAAGCTCAGATATATGCTGTAGACCTCCATCATGGGAATGTAAAATAATATCATGATTGCATATAGTAGATATATTATTATTATCATCTACTATAATAGCAGCAACCTCAGAAGTGCTTGGAATATTATAATATCTTGAATCAGTTGTTCTCAAATCTGTAATTACCATTTTTAACTGTCAAGATAGATTCTGTCGTAACAATCTACCTGTTTGCTGAAAAACTTGTACATATGGGTTAGTATCATGAAGCATATTTTGAAGAGCAGCCAGA